GCTCTTGTTTTTGCACCTGATGTAAATTCGGTTTGTTGTTTACTGGCTTTGTAATTTGTGGGGAGTGCAAAATGCAACCCCCCCCCCAGACTTCCTCTGCCTGCTTTTGTTGGACTGGTTGTAGGTTGTTGCAGTCTTGTCCTTGTGTCTCTATTTTTGTTCTGTTTCCCTTTGGGATTGTGTTGCTATGTACATTTGCATACTCAATATATCTTCTTGATTTATTTACCCAAAAAAGAAATCAATGGTTGTAATTATCAAGTCTAATTTATAAATTTATTTTTTAAGTTCATCTAGCATTGCTCTAAAGTTTTACGAACCAACAATGAGAGATAAAAAGTGTAAAAAAAAAAAGAGAAAATGTATAGATAGAGTAAAAAGTTACTGTCGAATAATAATAGAAGGGAGAGGCAGTGTTAGAGGTGATGGTGGCGAATTTGAAGATAAAAGTAAGAGAGACAAAAATTTGTTCCATTGAACGGGGCCCATTCATGTGCAATGAGTTTCATCTGCATTCAAAGGAAAAATCATGTGCAATGTTTCATGAGTTTCATCTGCATTCAATGGAAAATTCATGTGCAATGAGTTTCATCTGCATTCAAAGGAAAATTATGTGGAAAAATATTTTAGAGTAGATCTAACTTACTATCAATCACCATTATTCATGCCCAATTGCCCATCAATATTGAACTCCTCCGTAGTAAGGGAAAATCAAATTTCTGTCCCAAAATTTTTTAAAATTGCATCATTAAGATTCTAAATTTTCATATCTCACCCTCAATATATAAAATTATTGTAATGTGGCCTATCACTAACCACTTATTATATAATTCTTTTTCATTTAACATGGTGTCCCTATTTTTTTTTTTAATTTATAACTTTGCCCAAAGTCATTTTTGTTAATTTGTTGTCCCATATAGGACATGCTAACACTAAATTACAAGTTAATTTGGTGGTTCAATTTTATAAAATAAAAAAGTTTACCCCTAATCATTCAATTTTACAAAAATAACATTAGATTTTTGTTAATTTAATTTATAGCTGTCAATGTTCATTTGATATTAATTTGATTAAATTAAATATTAAATGGATTAAATTGACTAAAATTTGATGAAATTGAATGGTAATTTGGTATTAATTTAAAAAAAATTATATTAATTTGATGAAACTAAATGTTAAATTCATAAAATTGAATGTAAATTGGATAAAATTAAATATTCATTTTATAGAATTAAAATTTAATTTGGTATAAAATTGAAGAAACAATATAAAATGTTTCATTCATGAAATTTAATGTTAATTTTATAAAATTGAATGAAAATTTAGTATTGATTTGATGTAATCAAATGTTAATTTGAATTTAAATTATAAAATGACATTAATTTGATAAATAGAATGTTAAATTGATGAAATTAAATGCAAATATGATAGAATTAAAGGTTATTTTAGTGTTAATTTGATAAAATTAAATTTTAGATTTGATAAAATTGAATAATTATCAAATATTAATTTAGTGGTAATTTCATAAAATTGAATATTGATTTGATGAGATTGAATGTTAATTTGCTGAAATAAAATAGTAATTTAATGAAATTTAATGTTAATTTGATAAAACTGAATGTTTAATTAATAAGAGTAGTTAATTTGGTGTTAATTTGATGAAGTTTAATGTGTAGTAAAATTGATTTTGGTATTACTCCTTGAATGTGAATTGAATGAATTAATTGCTAATTGAATGTGAACATCAATTTGACAAATTTTTATGTTGATATGATAAAATTTATGATTAATTTAGTGTTAATTTGATTAAATTGAATATTAATTTAGTGTTAATTTTATTAAATTAAACATTAATTGAATATTAGTTTATAAAATTAAATTAAAAGTCAATTTGATGAAATTGTATATTAATTTTGTATTAATTTAATGTAATTATGTTAATAATGGTATTATGTGGGTAATTATGTGAAATCAAATATAAGAGTAATTATGTAAGGATAAATTCAAATAGCACCCCCGTAAAATGGGGAATCTTCCCTGAACAAGATTTTGTGGTTATGAGAAAGAGAGACTCCGTACAGTATAAATTCTCATGTGACGTCACATAATAATTGGTTATGCCTGGCACGTACACCAAACGTACGGAAACCTTACCGCCTAAAAAAACGAATCTCTCTCTCTCTCTTTTAATTTCAATATGAATAAGAATAAATGATACGACGTATTACATCGTAGTTTGTTTGAAAACTCTTATTTATATCATTTTAATTATTATATAATATTATTAATTTTGTAATAATAATAATAAATA